AAAAAAAAAAAAAAAAAAAAAAAAATGTACACACCTCTTCTGCTAGGCCTTAACAGTCTGTGGGGAGGTTAAGTCAGTCTAGTCAGTAGTTGAGCTTGATTTGGATTTTGTTTTAGCTATGGTTACCTTAGAAAGGTTTTGAAACTTCCTTTTTTATTGAGGAATAATTTATATACAGTAAATTTACCCCTTTTAGCATATAGCTCTGTCAGTTTTGACAAATGCGTGCAATCATGTAACCACCACCACAAGCAAGATACAGGACAGTTCCATTACTTCCTGAATTTCTCCATGCCCTTTCTCCATTCCCAGCCCTTGGCAGCCAATGATCTTCTTTGTGTTCCATACATGGAATTATACAATAGGAAGCCATTTGAATATGCTCATTTTATTTAGCGTAATGCATTTGGGATTTATCCGTGTTATTGCATTTTTAGTAGTTTATTTTTATTATGGACTAGTATTCCATGAATTTAATGTAGTACTGTGTTTTGTTTATCCATTTACCAGTTGAAGGGATCTCTGAATTGTTCCAGATTTTGGCATGGCTAAATTAGTGTTTGACTTGGAATGTTTCTAACTACATTCATTTATGAATTTGTTCTACTATTTTTCTCTTGCTAATTTAATGTTTTTATCTTTATTATTTCCCTTTTTGTTCTACGTTCTATGCTTCAGTTATTGTTCCTAAAGGCAGTAAATGTGCTAGGATCTTTGTAAAGGAGACAGAATGAGGTATTATGATTTTTGCACTCGGGTATCCTTGAGTGTAAGAAAAGAAAGAGAGAGGAAGTTGGATTTTACTGTCAAACTTGCTGAGGCACAAGAATATATGTCCTTAGACTATTTGACTGACATTGGCACCAGGATTTCCCATCAGGAACATTTGCTGATTCTTCATGAAATAATATTTCAATATTTGTGGAAGTAGATAGCTATCTCCTAAGTCCACTCTTTTATTTATTTCTTGGGGTTACACACAGTGAAAGTACTCCTCATTTATGGAAACATGCTAGAGCTGCAAAAAGAGCCATCTTCTCAACACTCTTATTTAATAGATTTTTTAAAATGCAGGCTTAGAGAGGAGAAGAAAATTGTCTCAGAGCTCTTGGTGGTTAAGCTCTGAAAGGTAGACTCTTCATTTTTTTGGAGAGAGGCATCAGAGGTTGGGTAAAGGCCTGACACCTACACCTGGAGTTACATAGAGCATTCAGGCAAGAATTTGTTTCCTCTGTTCTTTAAGCAAATTAGGCCCAGGTACATATTTTCTGAAGTGATCCACTTATTTGTCTTTTGATTTATCTCAGATTAGGACCTGACCTAAGATAATATGCGAGAGACTGGGTTTCCTGTTCTTAAGAGCTCTGTTTCATTTCACTGTGCCTAGAGAGCTTATTGAAGTATTTATGTGTATGAACTTTGGGGAGATATAGTCTTTATTTATTTTTTCCTTAAATGATGATATAATTTATGTGAAAGAGAATTCTCTACTTTCTAAAAAGGCATTTGAAGAGTATATATGACGTGCATCTATGTCTGCACATGCTTTTCCGTCTGTCTGCAATACACATCCTCATCTTTGCTTAGAGAGCTTTTACTTTTCCTTCAGGGTAATCATCTCATACTTTACCCAGCTGGATCACAGGTGTCCCCTTAGAAGTGGTTTTATAGCATACCTCTATCTTGATAATCATCACGCTAAATTTTAATGGTTGGTTTTCTTGTTTATCTCTTTAATTAGACTGAATTTCTTTAGGGTGATGCCCTCAAGCCTAACACATGTCGAATGTGACTTTGGTGTAGCTTAAATCACTTGGTGGACTAACCACTGGGCCTGAAGGTAACCGAAACAAAAGGTTTGTAATGATAATTCTGCCATAGACCTTGGATTGCCAATGGCTTCTGTTACCTTAAGGAAAATGTTTACAAAGTGCTGTTGATAACATTTCTTTTATCTTTTGAACTCTCCTGAATAAAGACTCTTGGGTGGGCCTGTTCAGTATATTGGAGGAGATGATTTATGTAAAGAGTAATAAAATATGTTTTGGCCTTTTCTCCTTTTTATCTCTTCCCTTATAACTCTGGCTTTTTCTAACTTACTTGGAGAGACATTTGAAGGGCTGCCTGATCAGATGCATTTATGATTTATGGCTCTGCCTTCTCAGCCACCCTGGGAAGAATATTAAAATAGCACCCAAGGCTACATCAGCAGCCTATTACTATATTAAAAAGAAGGATATATTAAGAAATGCAAAGGCCTGCAACAGTTTCCAGGAATAGCCCTCCTGAGTAAACACGTCTACCTTATACATTTTGAAATCAGCAGCATCTTCTTGTAACAAAAGTTTTACCAATTAGTTTTCCTACGGAAACCTGAAGAATTTAGTGACAGTTTTTGGAGGCCCCTATTTAAAAGTCTGTAGCGGCTGGGTGTGGTGGCTCACGCCTGTCATCCCAGCACTTTGGGAGGCAAAGGTGAGCGAATCATGAGGTCAGGAGTTTGAGACACGCCTGACCAACATGGTGAAACCCCATCTCTACTAAAAATATAAAAAAATTAGCTGGGCATGGTGATGTGTACCTGTAATTCCAGCTACTCAGGAGATTGAGGTAGGAGAATTGCTTGTACCTGGGAGGTTGCAATGAGTTGAGATCACACCACTGTACTCCAGCCTGGGCGACAGAGCGAGACTCTGTCTCAAAAAACAAAAAACAAAAGTCTGTAGCAAATTTGACCCTAAGAAACATTATTCAAAATAGTTTGGTTTTCTAGACCAATGATTCTTCAATTTCTTTACGTATAGTAATCTAGTCTCTGCCATTGGTGATTCTGGTTCAAGAGATGTAGGTTGGAATTTAGGAAATGACATCTTTAATAATAACCTCAAGTTTATTCTGATGCAAGTGGTCTGGGGTCCTGCTTTTGATGAACACTTGCCCAGGACTTCTTGTTGGGGGGCGGGTCTTTTAGCAGAAGCTAATGACTGGCAGCTCTAGGTTAGTGTTCTGAGAAGGACACAATATAGCATGAAGGATAATGGTAACTGGTCATTGTAAGTAGTCCTGGAGTGAATTATTTGGTGGCCATTTTGAAAAGGAACAAAGGCCTTCAGCATCCTGTGCTATCTCTGTCATAGCGATCTCCACTGTGGTGTAGTTGCCTGTTTGCTTGTCCTTTTTCTCCGGTTAGCCTGGAGAGCAGGGAGCATGTCTTTCCTGTCTGTGCTCACAGCACCCAGTACCTTGTCAGTGTTTGCAGAAGACTAAATATGTAAATGAATGAATCGATGATAGAAAGAATGTGTATGATTATTCACAAATGAAGACGTATTCAAAGGCTTCCAGCCTGAAAGTCTGACCAAGCTTGGTAAACATAGCCAAGAGAGGAAGATGGTAGTGTGTGTCAGAGATATTTTTAAATGTTGTGTTGTTCTTTCCTATTAAATATGTGGGAATTGGGGTAGTGCAGTGACTCCCACGTGTGGCTGCACCTCATAATCATCTGGGTGCCTTATCCTCTTATTAACTGAGTTTTAAAAAAGTGAAGAAGTAATATATACACTTGGCATAAAGTGAAAATTAAGTGTATTATTCCTCACTTCCACTGCGCTCCCTGGAAACAATCATGTCTATCAGTTTCCTGTGTAAGTCTCCAGATATGTTTGGAAGCATGTGTATCCATACCCTTTCTTACCTGAATGATCTCCTGTTATAAACTCTATGTTGCATCTTGATTTTTTTTTACTTAACAACATATTTTAAAGATTATTCTGTATTAACACATATAGATCTACCTTATTTACTACGATGGCTACATGGTATTCCATTACATTGAATCTGTTACGTATGTATGTATGTAGTAATCCATTGTTGTTACAAGCAGTGCTGAACTGAAGATCAGTGAATGTATCTCTTTGAATACATGAGTAAGTATGTGTAGGATAAATTCCTAGAAGTGGTATTCCTAGGTTAAAGAGAACATGCATTTCAAAATTGGCAAAATTGCTCCCCAAAGAGGCTCCATGGATTATATTCTACTGATAGTGTGAATGAAAGTGCCTCTTTCCCCACATCTTTGTTTGGACAATTAAAAAAAAAAAAAGAAGAAGATGATTCTCAGACTTTCACAATTCTATTGCTTCCAAAACTTCTAGGACCATTCCAGGGGCCTGCATGTTTTAAAAGTGCATCAAAAAGCAAGATGTTATCAGTATTTCAATTTCAATGTGAAATTCACACCATTTCACATTTTTGTGATTCTGACTCAGAAGGTCTGTGGACTTGCCTTTGAAAACCACTAGGTTGGTGCACAGCACTTCATACGCACTTCCAGCAGACACCGGCTTCCGGGTCCTGAGGCCCTTCCCCACTACGAAACAAACAGCGAAGAAATGGGAAAGCAGTTTGGGTTGAAAATAATGCTCTGGCACCTTTGGGCTTGCAGATCTCCTTTTTCTGCCTTGCTGTGTTTTCCATTTTGGTCTCAAGTCTCTTTATTTTTCGGATGAATCACTCAGAGGTCAACCTCTTTCCACAGGTTCACAAGGATGTACTTTAAACATGTACTCTTTGAGGACACATTCTTTGATGAGTGCTATTTTGAAGATGTAACATCAACAGATACCTATTTCAAAAATTGTACCATTGAATCAACCGTCTTTTATAACACAGGTAGGTAAGAACATTGACAGACTGAGCAGACTATATTGAGAGACAGTTAGTTTTGTCCAAGAATCAAAATGCTCAGGCATCAGCTTCAGGAGTTAGGAAAGCATTCATCGATGCAAATGCCAAACCTTGGTGGGGAGATGGATTTTAGCCCCAGGCATGGCACAAATAAGGTGCACAGCCTTTGCTAAGGCATTTAATGTGTCTGTATCTCAGTTTTATCACAAATGAAATGGAAACAAAAGTTCTAGCCAAATGCCCTCACCCCAGTGAGGCTGACGCTATACATAAAGGGTCTCCGGTACGAACAAAGGATGACACAAAAGCAAACCAGCATTCCAGGAGGGCTGCATTTTATGCACAGAATGCATTCTTGAAGACCTTGCATAATTTGAAACTTGCAAAATGCAAGACTTGTGTTCTCACAATAAATGAAAAGGGAAAATTACATCTGTTCACATTTTGTGCATGAAGTGAAATACGAAGATTATTTTAAAATTACACTATTTTAGATTTCCATGGTTAAAAAAGTCACAAAATTCTACCACTTCACCACTTCTTGTTACTTTTGCTACCCTCATCATAAATTAATAAAATACCAAGTGAAGTTGGTGTATAAGGAAACCGAGTGAGCTTTTATTAGGGGCTTTACTTACATTGTCTCAATGAAGAAATGTACAATTTTTTTAAAAAATCCTTATCTTATAGCTAAGGAAACCGAGTTAAGGAAATCAAGACTTAAGCAACTTTGTCAAGGCCACGTTTAGCAAGTGAGGGAGTCTGAATTCACTCCTCAGTTGTTTGGCTATAAAGCCTGCAATCTTGCCACTGAACTGCTTGCATTATGTCGAGATCCATGTTTTATCCCTGGCACAGGCACCAAGGGACATTTTATACAAGAACGTCTTTTTCCTCTATGATATCAGCCTCAAGAGCTTCAATATGTGGTCTCTATTCTGGAGTCTCATAATACTTCACTCTGGCACTTACCTTCCTGAATTTCCTTTTACCCTAAACTTGAAACAAGAATGAATTCCAGAAATTTACTCACTGTCATTAAAAACTGGCATAGCATTTTGTTATTTCAAGTTTGAATGATGCCTCTTCATTTGCACACTCTTATCATGGAGATTCTTGCAAACATGTGTAGCCAGGAAATGTCAGAGCTGGGAGAATCAGTGGAGATGGCCAGGTGTACTCTTCCAATTTTGTAGATTTTGTAGGTAGAGCCTCAGGGAGGTTAAAGAGGGCTAACAGCAGGACCAGATCCCCAAACCTGGGTTTCTGGGGAGCCTGTTTAGGACTTTTTCTGTCAGAATAGCTGATCTTAGAAGGTGTAAGGAGACTTGCAAACTGGTTCCAATGCAAATTGCTTTTATTTTTTAAGAATGTTCAGGTTTAGGCACAGAAGACAGCATGGGCTCTGGAGTGACCGGCTCAATCTGGAAATAATGCTCTTCTGTTCTGCTTCCCTATGCCAGGTAGCCTCCAAGGAGGGGCCTAGCTGCTGTGGCCCTCAGTGTCACTTGATTGGTACAAACAGGACTGTTATCTGGCTGGAGAGATGATTTTTTTTTTTTTTTTTTTTTTTATTCCACAAGCTCTCCCTCTTTTGCCCGGGCTAGAGTGCAGTGGTGTGATCATGGCTCAATGTAGCCTTGACCTCCTGGGCTCAAGTGGTCCTCCCACCTCAGGTACCAGAGTAGCTGGGACTACAGGCACACACCACCACACCCAGCTAATAATTTTTTTTTTTCGTAGAGATAAGAGATAAGGTTTTGCTATGTTTCCTGGGCTGGTCTTGAACTCCTGAGTTCAAGTGATCCTCCTACCTTAGCCTCCCCAAGTGCTGGGATTACAGACGTGAACCACCACACCTGGCTGACAGGATGCATTTTTAAATGTCCATCAACGTTAGTTTCATTTCCCCTTGCTTTTAAGAACTTGAACAGGTCATTAGATTTTTAGGAAGTTTCTCTATTCATCCATACCTTGATGACATGGTCACATATTACATTGACTTTGAGGTGGTCTGACTGGCACAGCCTGCTCACAGAAGGGGGCAACTTCATTCCTGCCTCTGCCCTTCTCTGTCCAGCTCTCTTCCACTTACATGAACCGAAGCTTTCGTTCTCTCCCCAGACCTCTACGAGCATAAGTTCATCAACTGTCGGTTTATCAACTCCACCTTTCTGGAGCAGAAGAAGGGCTGCCACATGGACTTGGAGCAAGATAATGACTTCCTGATTTACCTGGTCAGCTTCCTGGGCAGCCTGTCTGTCTTACCTGGGAACATCATTTCTGCCCTGCTCATGGATAGGATCGGAAGACTCAAGATGATCGGTGAGTTGTCCGCAGTCTTTTCTAGGTTCCAGTGTGCTGGGATAGTGGCTTTCAAATGTATTAAAATGGGGAAATTTTTCCTTTTATTAAAGAATTCTTGCACAGTAAACCCAACAAGTAAGATTGCACCTGGGGCTATAAAACCAAAGATGCATGCCTATGGAAAATTCCAGGGCTCCATGGAAATAGTCAAAGATCTTTGGTCTAGGCGAGGGATTTTTGTTCATTTCCTGGCAGAGAAATTCTGTGATAGCAGTTTAATCCATTAGCACTTCAATAAGGGTACTAATAATATCCACCCTGCCTCTTCATCAGATTATTGTCAGAAAAATATATAAAATGCTCTGGGATGATAGTTTGATGTTTGAAGATAAATTGTATTACTTTTATTGTTTAATAGCAGTACCACTTTAGGCTTTGGAGTTGGACAGAGCCATGTTGAAATCCTGTCACTGAAAGGCTGTTTGACCTTGAATGTGTTTCTTTACTTCTCTGGGCTTCAGTTTCCTTATTTATAAGAGGAAGATTTTCACATCTAACTGGTAGGTTTTTGTGAGAATTGAACATAAGGTACCTGTAATGCTTGGCACATCGTGGGTTCTGAAAAGTGGTAGCTATATTCATATATGCTTTGCCTCATTCCAGTGGGACTTGCAGCAATTTGTTACAGAAACACATGCCATAAATGGTAAATAAGAAACAAAATGTACACACGGAGGACCAGGGAAAATGTACATTAGAATATGAGTCAAGGCCAGGGTGGGGAAGTGGACAACACATTATTTTAATAAACATGCCATTAGGGACCTGCCTTAGGGATGTCATTGATTAGGAAAGTTCATATGAAGCTTCCTAGCAGCAGTTTGCAAAAAGAAACACAATCATAAAATCATTTTGTTGGAGAAGAGGAAATTGATCAGGTCTTCATAGGAAGGAATTCTTTTCTGGTGTTTGGCTCATACTGAATATCACTATTATAAATAGTAGCATGCATATTCAGTGTGGCGAGCATGAGAAGTGCCTGTGACTTCAGCTTTTTAATCTTGTGGTGAGGGTGGAGTCATCTCTTAGGTATGGCAGACTTCGTGCTCTCCTCTGATAGAGGCAGTGCCTGGTTAGTCGTAAGGCCCCTGGGGGAAGGGACAATGGTTACTCATTTCCATAAGCCCTGTGTCCAGTGCAGTGCCTGTAGTAGGAGTTCACTCAGCAATGCTTCTGAACTGACTAGAATGGATGAAGATGGCCTCTTTCCTAGGTCAGCCCCAAACACCAGGCTTTCAGCAGAAGACACTATAGGTTGGCATCTGAAAAAAACTTTGACTGGGGGCCAGGTGTGGTGGCTCATGCCTGTAATCCCAGCACTTTGGGAGGCTGAGGTGGGCAGATCACTTGAGGTCAGGAGTTTGAGACCAGCCTGGACAACATGGTGAAATCCCATCTCTGCTAAAAATACAAAAAAAAAAAAAAAAAAAAAAAGTCAGGCATGGTGGTGCACACCTGTAATCCCAGCTACTTGGGAGGCTGAGATGGGAGAATTGCTTGAACCCGGGAGGTGGAGGTTGCAGTGAGCCAAGATAGCACCACTGCACTCTAGCCTCCAGCCTGGGCAAGAAGAGCAAAACTCCATGTCAAAAAAAAAAAAAAAAAATTCAAAAAGCAAAAAGCAAAAACAAAACAAAAAACAACAAAAAAAACTTTGGCTGGGGGTCAGGTGGCCCCATCTCTTCCAAGGTTAGCTTTATGTGTTGACCCAAGTTCCTTTACTTCACTGAGCTTCCATTTCCATTGTTAAAATAATACCTCTGTTTGCCTCAATGAGATAAAGGGTGTGAGAGCCAATGTGTGACACTTCTGCCATTTGTCACCAGCCTTATGAGTCCCAGAGTTGACCAGTGGATTCTCTGGTCTAGTCTTGAAGCAGAAGTCTGAGAAAGTTCTGGGGGAGGCAGTGTGATAAGGGTGGGGTGGGTGACCGTGTGGATGAGAACGGCCTACAAACTAAGGAGCTGCCACATGCCCCCTCATGGAATTGGTGGGTGGCTGGCACAGGGGCTGCAGGACAGTGAGACAGTGGACGTCCTTTCCCTCACCACTGAAGCCCATCTTATCATCGTGAATACATCCCAGATCAAAACGATTCCTATAATGCTAAATAAAGGCATGCTCCCGGATGAGAGGTCTAGAACTAATATTTAATCATTTTTTCTAGTCCACTCCCTTGTTAATGTCTCTGTTTTGTTTCTGAGCTAGAGGCAAGCTTGTTAAGAGCTCAGACAGGACCTTCTTTGTCTCTCTACCCTTCAGTGTTTAGTAAGAGGCCTGACATGCAGTGGGTTGACTGTGATATTGGCAGTGCAGGGTAAAGACGAGGTGCTCAGTTAACACCTATTCCACTAGGATATGCAGCGTGGGGGAACCCCTTTGAAACAGCCTTATCCCCAACTCTCAGACCAACTCTGCTATAAATCTGCAAGCACATTTTTGTTCTGCTTAATCTGCTCTTGGTGGAGTGCAAGTCATTTCTTGTTATCAGTGGAGTAGAAGTTTTCCTGATTAGGCTGTTATCCATTCATTTATTCATTCAATAACATTTATTTTTGCAGTACTTACTCTCTCAAGGCTGTGTGGGAGGCAATGGGAATGCAGCGAAATTGAGACAGACAATATCCCTGTGCTTAAGGAGCAATGATCTATAGGGAGAGGCAGACTTCCACTAGAATCTTAATTTACCTAAACACTAAGACATGCTTATTATAGGTCGGTCAGTGTTCCAGACATTTTATAAATATTAGCACATTGAACTCTCACAATAACTCTGTGAGGTAGGCACTCTTTTAATCAACATTTTAGAGATGGGGACAGTGAGATAGCTCACAGAGAGGTGAAGCAACTCACTCAAGGTCACACAGGTAGTAAGTAAGCTGGCATTTCCACCCAAGCCTCCCAATTATTAGAGGAATAAGAATTATGGAAGTGGAAGTACAGTGGGCCCTGGGGACTTATAGTAGGAACACTTAACAGAGGAAGGCCTCCCTGACTATTAGTTGATTTGTCAGATGATAATATTTTGTGGTTAATGAGTGTTTGCCAGCATTTATTGGAAGCTGAGCCCCATGGCTGGCCCCCATGAGGGATGCATGGATATAGCGGGTATTGCTCAGAGAGCACTTGGGGTCCTGTAGATGCCAGTTTTCCCCTGTTCTAGTTCTCTTCCAGCATTTGGAAAAAGGTTACCAGGCACCTGCTCACGGCCCTACTGGTTCCCAGAGTGGGCAAAACCCAGGTGGGTAGTTATCGTTTCCTAGTTCATCAGCAAGGATTGGCACTAGTCTCGCAGCCCCGGGTCTGAGGGTAACACTCTGGGCCGAGGCCCATCCCTGGGGAGGTGTTTCCTATGGAGGCTAGGTCAGCCTTTGGTTTCTTGCCAACTGGAGTACCTTCCTCCCACAGGGTGCTGGTGCCCGGTGGGGCGCTCGTGCCCTGTGTCCCGGTTGGTTGATTGAGACCTGCTTCCTTCCCACCTTTCTGCTCACCCTATTTCCGCCTCATTGCTGGTCACTTTCCTGGTCTGCAACCTGTTCTGCCATGCTCTGCTTCCACCTTGGACTTGGAGCTTGCATCCCAGGCTCCCTTGGGGCTAGAATTACTGGATTTTGGCAGCCTTGACATTCTTCTTTGGATGGGATCTCCTGTCAGCTGTGTAAGGGCTGTGCTGCTCATTTTCCTTTCCCGTCCCCATCCCAGAGATCTGAGCTGCCCTTCTCTGCTCTGCTGGGGGCCCTGCGAGGCTAACCCCATAGACTGCATACTCAGATTCCTGGGGGGAAAAGGGATTCACCCCAGATAGTTCTGGTGATGAGACTTTGCTGATAGGGCTTTTAAAGGTATGGACAGTGTTATGGACACGAATAAGGCAGGTGAGGGACCCAGACACCAGCAAAAGTGAGAAGCAGTTACCACCTCTATGGCTGTGAGGACAAGGTGGGAAATTGCACTCACAGAGCTCTATGGGGGCTGGAACCGTGGAGCAAGAGCTGCTTGGGAGGAACGGGGGTCTTGGAGGGATGCAACCATTGCCAGAAAAGGCCTTCTACCCCAGGGCAGGAGTTGGAGAGAGGTACTCCAACCACTTTCTCCTCCCAACTGATAAGAAAGTCCATGGGGTTAGCATGTAGAAGGTGTTGTTCACAGAACACACTATAAACTACAGAGTACAAAGCAGGGCTGGGAAGGGCAGGTCAGACCTCTGGAGTGGGGATTTGGGTAAATGGAGAATAGCACGGCCTTTCTTCAGGTTTCCCTTCAGTCGCCCATGTACAGGCATGTTCTCAGCAGGTTATAAGCTCTATGAGAATGGATTTTTAAAAAAGCGTTATTTTTTTATTTTCAATGGATAAATTATAATTGTGTATTTTGATGGGGTACAATATGATGTTTGGATATATGTATATGATATGGAATGATTAAGTCAAGCTAATTAACATATCTGTCACCACACATACATATGTTTTGTGGTGAGAGTATTTGAAATTTACTCTCTTAGCAATTTTGAAATATACAATACCTTGTTAGTAATGGTAGTCACCAGGCTTGGCAGTAGATCTCAAAAAGTGAGATGATGCAGATGTTTCTGTGCCTGGCTAATTTCACCCACCAGCATGTCTTCCAGGTTCATCCATGTTGTCATAAATGACAGAATAGCTTGCCTGCTTGCTTGCTTTTTCCTTCCTTCCTTCCTTCCTTC